AAGTATTATTGCACACCTGGGAACGGGCGGAAGAGAGCCTCTGGTGTGATATTCTCTCCAATGCTGCTGCTACAGCTGGCACGGAGACTGCTTCAACGGGATTGAATCTGCGTATTGCCTCTAGTGTATGGGATAGCGTTCATTGTCGACACCATGCAGTTTTGTGTCAGGTAATGCAGACCTCTGAACTGTTCCGCATCACTTATGACCATTAGGAGAGTATTAGATTGAAAACTGCACTTTTTGGTTATCTTTTTACGGATTTATCAGCACAATTGGTCTTCCATAGGCAGCCAGATGCTTCCTGCCAGAAGTGGAGAGTTGTTTTGAAGATGTGATGTATTACTAGCGCTTTTCTACTTCAGCCCTTCGTTGTGCGACACATTGTTTTTATTAGTGTTTGTGAGTGCCGATACAAAAACTTGCAGATAGGTAGGGCAAAGGGACACTTTTTTTTTGCTTCCGCTGATTGGTGCTGTGTCTGCAGGCGCTGACGGCAAGTTTGACGGGTTTGGCTTTGGCGGTAACAAACTGGACGCCGGTGGAGTGGAAGCAAATGGTTCGATGTGGAGTGCCATTGCATTTTGAGGGTCTTTTGAGTTGCTCTGGTGAAGAGATCTGTATGTTGGAGAACTGGGCTTGGGCGATTCAGAGCCTGGGATTTTGTCATATCGTAATACGGCCATATTCCTCCCCCATGGAGGTTACGAAAAGAGAGACGACAGCAGAGAAGGAGCCAAAGGAACGGAATGGAGGTGGACAGTGTTTGACACAGGTTCGGATCCTTCGACACAATGAAATTTTGGTAGGTTTAGGGATGATATTTTAATACTCTTAAGTCTTTCCACTTTTGGACTCTTTGGCTATACGTCGGGTTTAATTTCCTCCCAAGAGGTTGGAAAGGGAATCTTGCGTTTGACATTTAGAGAAGTTGAAAATTGGATTAATAGAAGTCAGTGTTGATGTGAGTGAAGGTGCATTACGGGGTGGCGAAATCATTACCGACTTGAGAGCTTGGTGCAGCACATTCAAAGTTAACGCGTGTCCACGACCGCGTTAGTCTGTCGAAGACCGAATTACATCTACACCTGAGTTCTGTTTGTCGAAGATGCGTAATAATAGCATCGTTCTTGAAAAAAATGTGGAAAAAGCGTATTCAAATGTGTCGCTATTGTTGACGCATTGTTTGAGGGACTATGGTGTCGATTAAGGTGCTTCTTTCCCCTCATTTCCTTGCAATGAGCTCGATGTGAGAAGCGGTCGGTGTACAAGGTGAACAGCTTCAAATTTACTTCTCTTAGGTCAGTTTGTAGAGGGTTAGAACCGCGACTACCTTTGTGGTAGCCATTTTGTACCGCTTTATTATTGCTGATTTTATTCTTTGCAATCACTACTAACACATCTGTCAACCTGACAGGGACATTGCTTGGTACGTTTTAGCTAACGATTCCACGTTCAGCATGGAATCGAGTCCCTCCTGAATGTCAAGCTCGAGGTCGAATTGTTCTCTCCTTGCATCCCTTCCACTTCAATGTGGGCATCAATGAGCAGCAGTCCATCGCGGAACGGTCGGTTTTATGTAAAAACTCACAACTACTTATTTAATAAGTAGCATGTTTTTAAAGTGCTTGCTTATCTGGTGAATCTACTTTGGAGCTGTTAGTGGAATATCACCATCATCAAATTGTTGTAGGCTTGAACGTGTCAGTCTTCAGTCACTCATCAATGCCAATGGACTGACTAGCCTTCGGATGTACTTCGACAAGTATACTCGGAAATTTGGTGCTCCAAGTGCGTTTGATTTTATTTGGATTCCAATACTCATTATTTTCACTATTCCCATGCAGTTATGATCTCTTTCTTCTTCGTACGCCATCGGGAAGCTAATTCATTGTTTTATACTGTCTTATAAGTGTCGTTTCGGCCTTTATACCTAGTCTTGGTGCAACCAACGTGTTCTTCATTACGTAATGACAACCATTTATGTCTAGTCGTTTTGCTTAAACACAAAACGCTACAAACAATGACGGTTTTTCTATCTCTGGGAGTTTTTGCATCTTTTTTCGTTTTCTGTCAGTCTGCTAATCCAAGTGTTGATGACGTCTGACGTCTCTGTACTGTTCGATTTTCCTCCGATGCCTTCTTAGTCAAAGTACTAAGGCCAACATTGAACTTCTTACCTCTCTTTGTTTTCCTTTTCTCTAGGGAAGACACCCACTCAGCAGGACGTCTGCGATGTCCTAAGCAGTCTACAGTATGAACTGGAGGCAAATAAGTCTAAACCGGTAGAGGTGCTTCGCTTAGCAACAGAGGTTTCTTCAGCGCTTAACGCACTTCGTTTTACCTCGTGCAAATCGGCGAAAGATCGAACGGGGATGGCGATATCGTTGGAGCAGACCAGATGGCTAATGGTGAGTTATGGTTTGTGGATACTGGTCATCACTCCATCCGTCTAGTAACTTATGGATTGCTTATTCTTCTGTCATTTCGGTCAATCATCTATGAATCGTGCATTTCTGCGTTAATACATTTATCTTCGCATCCATTAACCTTTGTTATTATTTATAAATCCCAATTTATCTACTCAGCCTTCCATAACTCCCAATTTCTTATTTTACCGAGGTAAAAGATCAGTTTGTGGCTTTTCTAGCCTTCCATTGGGAGAGGTTAGTGTAGTTGACACCTGTTACTATTGTTTCTACTCATCATTCACAAGCTCATCCACTCACTTCTTTCTAGTCTACTTATCATCACCTGTTCCCCGCTTGCCTGTTTGTGACCCCACTTTCTGTTCACTCACGTAACCACCTAGTCATCCTTCATCCTCGACTCACTAATTTACCAATTATTGTCTAAGTTGCTCATACAACACTTCTTGATTCAATCAATCCCTTGTCCATACAGTTCGAATCCATCGTTTTGTCCACGTACTTTCTCATCAGTCCATGTGCCTTGGCACATTGCCTTCTTGAAATGCTGACTTAAAATTTGCTAGCGTTTGTTGAGAGGACTACTCTTTTTTGGATACTTCAATTCTAAAACATTTGTGCCTTGATTCTGCTGATCTGTTCGATCCTCTACAACAAAGTTGCATATTTTTTGGCACGATCCACTACTTCCAACTAGCCATTTCCTCTTGTCGTTAATATTAAAGGTGTCTAACGTGGTAGCGTAGTGGAATATGATTCGACACCTTCAGATACGGCGAGTTCTTAAAAATTGCATTCCCCAATGACAGCTAATCCAAGTTCAAAGTCTACATTGAGTTTAGTGAAGCGGTTGCGACTGAGGTGTTTATTTAAAGTAGGTAGGGGAATATTGGAGTCAAAGGGAGACTCTAAGGTGTTATTGTTTTCAAGGCGTAATTAATCTAAGTATTGTATGTGCGTTACCAAACTATGATTGAGTTTATTAGCCACTCCTACATCTACTGCTACTAAAGGCATTTTATTGTGATGGAAATCTATCAGTGGATCGTCAGATTTCCCGACCATAGGATTAGTATCGATTTAAAAATCCCTAAGTCTGTGTACCCATTTGATTGGCTCACATCCCGTTTTGGGCCTTTTCCATTGGTTAAAATACCCCCTCCCTTCATGACGGCCGCCTACCTCCCATTGGACTGCACTGTTGCGGGAGTTGATAAAAGCTACATAATTGTGCTTCCATTGCCTTTCAAGGAGGTGGAAGGAATGCACAAAGACAGCTTCTCTCCAGCCTTAAAATGTCTCCGAAGCACGGGTCTTCGATTGAGCAATGTAGAGAAGAACATTAACGTACGGAAGTACTCCTTCACGCGTTTTCAAGTCCTCGCCTTTCCGAAGGCCTATCGACCACCCGTGGGCACGTATTCCCTCCATGTTCCATCTTGATGGTAAGTTTTGTCTTTAAAGCATTGAATTCTGTCGCCTTCTTCCGCACCTGAGAATCTCATTTTAAGGACGAGTTTTGAAATTTGTTCGCAAATTCACTGGACTTTTCGTTTCCCCCCTAATTGATGCTAGCAGCATCTAATCCGCTTCATTGCGGATTTTTTAGTCCTGTGGACTAAAAACACCATCATCTCAACAACCCTGTGTGACATTTGGAGAAACGTGATAATCAAAAGTTTACAGAACCAGCATCTATCCGTGCGTTCTCAGCATTAAGGTTACTTTTCGAAGCAGACGTTACTCGTGTTTACCAAATGGTTAAGAGAATTGCATGCAGCAAGTGTGTGGGGAAGTAAAATGATTATTGGCGTTGATGTGAACCCACCTTCTCAGACAATCATGCAGCAACTTCACTTCCTATTGTGTCATCTTGATGAGGAGTGGGTGAGGCGGGGTCGTAAGCGTGCCAACAAATTCGAGTAAGACAAAATTTAGCATTTTCTAGCTTATGTGGAACCAATGCGCAGACAAGACCGTTTATGTGGTCTCGGTTTGACCTCCACGACCTTTTAAAAAGATCTAAAATTGAGTGCTAGATGATGACAGCTTTTCCTCTGTTTCTTCAATGCACGTGGAGACCTGACCATTTGGAAACACTTTAATTCCCCTTTTTTGGTTGTCATTGCTTCGTACTTTTTTGCCTCTCGGCTTTCGAGCCCCCTTGATATTCACAGCTACCGTCATTACCTCATTACCGTCATTACCGTCATCAGTTCAGCCCTCAGTTAAGCGGAAAAACAAGGTTGTGATTTTGGGGACAGTTCATTGTAATGGCCTATGTCTTTTCTTGTGCTCTGTATTAAATTTGTAGCCGCAGTGGTGAGGAAATTCACCCTCAAAATTCTATGGCATCTGGTAATACCAGCACCAAGTCACTTAACGGCAAGCTGGTAGTTTTCTTGTGAGTTCCACATACAAGATCACTCACCATGAATTTCTTACTGAAATGATCTGTCTGCTCTGTAGTATGCACCAAATGTACATACTTGAGAAGTGACAAAGTGTACATCGCCTTGTACTCCGTTATCGCTCACGTATTTCGCCCACAGCTCCTCCTTCCACAGCAGTCCGTGTGAATGGAGATGCACTTGGGCCACTACTTGGAGCGACACATCACCAACTTGCTTGTTTGTGCCTATTAGCAAAATGACTCAATCTTGGCAATATACACAATAACGCGTCTCCTTCTTGAACCCTTTCAGATCCTAATGCAATCTACGTCGCAAGGTGTATTTTTCTATCCTTCTCCAATCAACAGTGATGGCAGACAATTTCTTCAGACAAAAAACAACCTCATCATCCTTTATCCTTCAGAACCTCACAAACCTTACGGCAGAGTTAAAAACAACAATCTTTTACTCAAAGCACAAGATTTACATAGTCTTGGTGGAAAGGATTTAAGTGGCGTCATCGATGATGTTGACTAGAAAGGCCCGATCCTAACCAGCCTGATTCAGTCGCTCGTTTAAGCGCTCCGTATAAGCCGAGTGGATTGATGTTAAGAAATCATCATCATTCTATAAGGAGAATGCAGAGTAGAAGAGGCCCCAAAACCAACGTGAATGCCTCCTCGTTTCAACCCACCTCGATCAGGTGTAGCAGCGCGGCCTTGAGCTGATTGCGAGTGAGACCATCAACAGAGTTTGAGAAGCTGGTCTTGCTGTCCTGCCTAATCATCTTAGCATCGTTCCGCAGCCGCCGTAGTAACTCGCCATTCACCTTATCCTCGGTTTCTTTCTTTGAAAAAACTTGGGAAAAAGATAAACAACTTCGGTTTTACACTAGCAACACCAACTTTAGTTCTTCAGCAAGTTGGAATGCTACTACCTGGGAGCAATGGAGCTTGCATAGACAAAAAAGCACTCCATGGAACGTATGGCATTTAGGCAAGCGCTTGGTAACAAGTGCCTCTCACTTATTCCAAAATAAATTCTCCCTAGATTTTGCGTGATATCGTAAAACCTGGTCTGAATAGAGACCGAAATAATTAGCGTCCTTATTATGGCGCAAAAGGCATTACAGTACCTCCGAGGCTGTGTCGCAGTCACATAAGAGTTGATAACGATGCCCGCCACGTGATCTGGGAATATGTTGTCCGCCTGTTAGTAACTTTGCGCATTCAAATGAAGCTATTGCTATGAATGCAAGAAATGGACATGGATTGGGCTCATTCTTCACCTGGTATGGAAGTCACAGCCTCCTCCAACTTCGGCGTAGTCTCCTCTTTCAGTGTTCGTTCCAAATCGGAGGCGAATTGGCAGTCCGACGAGTCTGAGATGGGTGGTGCATCCATAGCGCTACGTTTTAAGAAGAAAACATAATTGTCTTATCAATGTAAAAGCAACTAGGACGGTTCAAAAAAACTTGCACATACATGTAGGACAGGTGAAACTTCAGGGAATTCGACGGATTTAAAGCAGGGGCTACAGCCTTTGATGATTCTAGAGGATGCGAAAAAATGGCAGGCTTACCATCCTCGTTTATGGAACGCTAAAAGAGTTAAAAGGAGACTTTCGCAAGCAATGAAACACAGCATGGATGAAGTGCGAGATTTCACATGCCTCGAATTCCTCCGATGCAGAGGATAGAAGCTGACGAATGCTTGAGCACCCTGCCGTAATGCTTGGACCCGAGGAAGACAACTTGACAGCCTCATCAAGTGACGGCTTCGTAGAAGGCAAGAAGAAAACGTCCTTCGCGGCTTTCTCCTTGAAGCTAATACTGTTGATCACCCTGGGATAACAAATTAATTGAATAAATTTAGATAGAATGACCAAAAGTCTTTCAATGACCTATGCGAAGTTACCTTTTAAGGAGCTCATAAATACGCTTGCAATCGCTAGTAACGCAAAACCACATGGAGAAAATAGTGAGAGATGTCCTGTAAAACATGTGCGGAGGTCTTAGGAGTATCTCCAGGCTGGAAGTGATAGGTTGAGTAGAATTTTTAGTTGAATCATTCCGATTTATAACATGAAATGCGTAGTGGGGGTCAGAACTCCTTTCACAGACAAATAGAACCCCTCCAATATCAGTTTTCTCCTGACACCGTATTACTGTCATTGCGTTAAGATGACAACTTACCCACTCCAATTTCAGTCTACTAAAAACATAGAGATGCACACCAGGTGACTTGTCCAGAATCTTAATACATGCCTTGTCAAACAATTGTACAACCGATAAGTCAATCTGCCCATCATCCATTACGAGACAAGATCAAACGAAAATTATTCATTAAGGAGCGCTTTTAGTCGGCCTATTCAAACAAAAAATGTGCCTGAGTTTCTAAAATTGGCACAGAATTTGTGACAAAGCTGTAAATTGAGTGCAATGAATTTTTTTAATTGAAAGCGTTATTAAGTAATGTAATGGTATATGAACCTTATAATATTAAACGGGCAACTAATTTCTTTGAGAAGAGCATGACTGGGAATGTAGTCATGACTATTTGTGTAACATCCCGAGGCCTTTGGCATCGTTAAAGAGGGCTCATTACATTGATATATACTTTTATTGAGATAGAAATAACCGCAGTTGTGCTTTGGTCTAACATTCATCCTTCATGTATATTACTTTGTCCAAATCGAAAACTTCGATAATGTACGCATTGAGAGAGCATTTTACTTAAATGGATTGAAGACTTGTTCGCGAGCACTGGCGGATCTAAGCTTGAAATATTTGCTCTAGTAAATGCGAAGCACGGATTTCTATATTGGTCGAGCTCTGTAATCGTAACGTATGAAAGTTCGGAGATACTGAGCTCGCTTCCATTGACAAAAAGTCAAAACAACTAAGCATTGAGTTAAATTTTTTTAAGGGACGCTGCAATAAGATTCTCTGAGTCGCAGATACTTCTCCATAATCACTCACAGATATGTGATAAGTACGTTGTCGGTCCATCTACCAAACTTTCTGGCTCTTACTACATAATAAAGTATTGTACGCTAGGTTACTTGTAAAAATAATAATTTAAGTAGTGTTCTTTTATTGTTTGTGCAGCCCTTCATTCCGCACTCTCTAAACCCTCAACCCAGTGTTCATACATAGGGAGTTACTTGAAGATATTTTATCTTTTGGCCTCAGAGAGATACAATCGGGAAAGTGGGATAAAAGGGTATTCCCGCACTCTAGCTGCATGGTGTTTGAAGCGACTTCTCGCCTCTACTCTACATGGAATATTGGTTACTTATAATTGCCCACACTCCTGCCTTTTTGGTGGGAAAACAATATGCAACTATTACTGATTCCGCCTCAGTAATAATCCCTCCCGATCGTAATCACCTAATCTAGGTGGGAATTTTGGCAGCAAACATTCAAAATTTCCTTCTTCCTCATTCAGATGTTGTACATTTAGTCCAAAATTATGACTCTGCGAATGGCTGGAACAAAATTCTTGGGGATATTTCACGGCCACCTATGCTATTACCAACTTCATTTCCTTCCCTGTTGACACCTTCAAAGGCGTTTCTAATGGTAAAACCATTTTTTACAACACTGATACTGTTTTTTAAAGTTCTTCACAGATCCTTGTTTGAATTTTGGACTTTTGGGCAGGATCGCGCAAGTGTGTATTGCAAATTTTCTAAAATCGGAGGAACAAATGAAGCAAACCTGTGGTGCCAACCTCGTCGTGCCCGAGCCACGTGACTCCATCGATCACGCAGTCATCGACCATTGGGGATTTGAAGAGTTGTGGTGTGGCACGGCCGCTTGCTTCACCTGAACCCGCCACTCAAGATGCCCTGTCTCGTTCTTATCCGTGTTCGGATTCAGGACCTCTACACACTGCGCAACGCCATCTACAAAGCACGCAGTGTCCTAGAAAAGGGCTACCGAGGTCTCTATATCGGCATCTCCAACGATGTAGGTGCGCCTTTCCACCGTAATCCACTTTGCCTACTTTTAGGCTGAAAGAGTACCACCTTGTGAGAGTCAACCACTTCTTAACTATGGTATGGGATTATTCTACTTCTCGGACGAAGCAGATGCCCGACGCTTCATCTACAGTGATCAGGGCTTCATGGAGACTGATTTTTTGGAAAACTCGGACATTATGATTATCCCCATGCTTAAGCCGCTTCTGATTGGTTGTTGTGAGTTGACATCCCCACTTACCTCCCCTGTATGTATGTGTGTGTGTGATTGTTAAAGTGGACTACCAACCTATGCCTAATTAACCCTTCATACAAGCGTGACTTCCTCTAGGCGTTTAACCGCAAATTCTGTCCCAAATGAGTGGACAAATTGGCCTTCATTTGTAGACGGAACGGCGCTTCTCTTCACGGAGTTGGTTCGAAGTGAAAACTACTGCCAAATGCCAGCATCAGCTATCACCTTTGATATGGAGAAGTGTGGAGCAGTGCCAAACATTGTGGACACCATCCAAGTAGCCATGATTAGAGCCTATGAAGCAAAACCTGGCGGTTTTCGTATCTCCCAATTTCCCAACAAGAAGGTCTTCTACGATTGGGTGAAGTCAGGTAAATTTTGCCACGCCAACATTCATGTTGAATGCTTCATTGATGTGATGCGTGTTAGTGATTACTTCCTTCCCACTTTTCTCCACCTCATTACAGATTGTGGAGCCCGTTTCAGGGAGGATATGTGCAAAGTGAGGAGCATGAACACGTACATTGCAACATTTGCAAGGGATCTGTTTTGAGGGAGGGCGATAACACTGTCGCGGTCGGTCTCATGGTGTGTGCAATTTGACCAGACAAAAAATAACTCCCTCTTTTTCGGAGAATTTTATTTGTGTGATTTTCGGTTTCTCATTTTCCTCCACTATGCGAGGGTGAAGGCCAGTGAAGGCTCCGCGTACATCCACGCCACCTTCATTTCCAAACAGATAGCTAGTCGGTGCATCGGACGGTGTGCCTCCTCTGCGCTAAACTTTATACGACCTTTTAAAGCGTGGAGTTTACTGTAACAGGAGGATGTGTGGGAGCGTACAGCGTGACACAACAAAGTTCCACAAAATGTGACGGTGGTAGTCGTGGAATTTCGGTGTCAAATATGTTTACAGGTTGACTAGGCAGCAAACCGCGCAAGACATTAGTCTGCTTAAAACAAAAAAGAGCGAATAATGTGCACCTCTGGTGACTTGTGGCCTCTCAAGGGGTAAAATTTGACGCTGATTGAGTGTCACTGGTTTGGGGCGGGGCGACTCCGCGGACCACCGCGCGTACCCAAGTCGCATCGCTGCCCTGTTCGTATGCTTTTTTCTAGAGACGGTAAATATTTCAGTATTTTGTTAAACATCCTACGAGGGGAGGTTTTTTTTCCGTGGTCTTAATCGCTCACTGTTTTCTCATTCCTCAAAATGACCAACACTGTGGGACTGTCAAGGTGGACAATTTTGAATGAAAATACCACCAGGCCTGCAGTGACCACTCTTCAACTAAAATGATTAACTGACAATGGTGTCCATGGCTTACTAGCTTTTGGAGAAAAGCCTAAAAAAAGTAAGAAAAACAAAAGGCCACAAAAAAGGGGTTAAAACAACGACAGAGCTCATTTGGGGAGGCTAATTATCTCACAGTTGAAGCGGCATCTGTTGCACACCAATTAGACCACAAAACACCGCTTGGAAAAACGCCTTTTTTTCTTGTGTGACTTTAAAAAAAGTAATCCTTCTACCCATAGACGGTTGGAATGAAATGCATTGGCTGTAAGTCTAACGGTGACTTGCTTATGAGATCAGAAAAATGAAATGATGGATAAACGTTAGCATTAGACTTTTGCCTGTGCGGAGTTTGTAGGTAGTGGAGCGGAGGAAACAAAACCTTCCAACACCCTTTCATACCCACCTCCGATTTGCTTTGAGTGTGGAGTCGATGCTTACGAATCTACTTCTTCTTCTTCTTCTTCCAACCAGATTGGATCGTGGCTTTGCAAGGCATCAAAAATCTTCATATTTCACACAGGTAACTAGAGAAGATTTCGACTTTAAGTGGCACAAATTTTCCTTCTCATCCTCCTCTTCTCTTTGTTGTTAAAGAATTACCTTTTTGTGGCACTGGGTTATCATATGCTTACAACATGGAAGTAAAATGATACGAGTTTCTTTCCCGGTCAATTTGTGCTTCTCGGAATACCTGCGCGTGTACTTTAGAGTTTACTAAAAGAAACCAAACATAGA